CCCTAGACCTCTCTCCATCTTCAGGCAGGCTGGGGGCAGCGGGTGAAATGCCCTTTTGACAGGGGGTGAAATGCCATGTTGCTGCAGAGAGTGCACCATGGCTGTCCCTGAGCACCTCTTGATGGCCCTGTTGTGGGTGGTGGGAGGTGGATGGTGGGTGTTGAGCCTCACCACCAGTGTGCCTGCACTCAGCAGCTCTTGCAGCATCCCTGGTTTCAGCAGGGACTCTCAAACTGGGAAGAGGAGCATTGCACCTGCCCAGAGGTTGGATTGCAAATTCTGCAGGGAGGTGGCTAGAGCTTCAGAAGGGATGCCCATAAATGTCTCTCAGGAGCCTGTTTTTATTTAACAATTACTAAGGAAATACAGGGCTGTGTGTTGGCAGCACGTTGTACTTGCACACTCTTACAATTGGTTTTCTCTAGCTTGTACCTTGCATCTCTACGTGTGGGCTGTTCACCCTGGGATATTGATTGCTGAGGACTGAATCCGAGTTACCAGATGAGACCAAGCAAAAAGGAATATTTTTTTGATGTGACAGGATTCTCTGGTAGTAATTACATTTAACTAAGTGGGAAATAACATAGAAAAAAGAATACACTCCAGTTACTTTCCTCACCTTGAGGAGTTGTTCAGGTCTCCTTAGGAAAACATATTCTTTTAAAGGAATGAAGTATGTATAAAAGTCACATTGGTTTTCCCTCTTTTCCCAGGTTCAATATTGGTATAGCTGGGAAATTATAGTGTCCTTTTGATGTAAGTCCTAAAGTCTCTCTCTGCCTTTCTTTAAAAGCTTTCAGGATTTTGTGTTGAAATAGATTAGCCTTAGCGATAGAGTAGGAGGCTGCTGGATTTCATGCTTGGGATCGTTATGTATTTATGAATGAACACTTCAGGAATCATTTAACCCTTCCCTTTTCCATCACCTTCTTGCACGCTCACTTTTGTTCATGCAATTAGACACAAAACACACATAATTTCTAACTAACTAGAAAAAAAAAATTTACCAATTTTGTTTTGAACAGTCTTTAAATTTTACATGCTGCTTAGTGGCTTCTCTGTGTGGGGTAGCAATTCTTCCTGGTAAATCAATAGAGTGGAAAAGGCACAGCTCAGGCTCCTTACAACATGCAACAATACTGAATCAATTGGCAACTTCACTCCACCCCCAAAAATCCCCAGTGGATCTGACTAAGAATATTCTACTTTCTCTAGTAGAGAGGGCCAGCGTATAAAACTATCAGCAGCTACTTATCTGTCTGTTCTGATGAGGTCTGGCAATGGGAAAAAGAATTTATTTTTTTCTCTCTTGCTTCCTAAGATAATCACATCATTGTGCAGCCCAGGATTCATTTTACCTCTTAAAAGATTATATTGCTGGGTCAGAGTTAATCCCGAAATATATTTGTAAAGAACTCGGCGCGATTACATTCATGTTCAGTCCAAGTGATTTGTGGATTAATTTTCTTTTTATTTTTCTTTTTTATTTTTTTTAGTTTAATTGTTGTCTCAGAGGAAGACATTTCAGTGGAGGAACAGTAGCCTTTCTTCAGCTGCCTTGATAGCAATAATAATCTTTGAGATAAGGTTTACGGGGGATTAATTCCAAAGTCAATTTGCTGTGATCACTCAGGCCATTGAGTGGATTGATAGCTCGTGCAGCCAGCACAGGGCCAGGCTGTAGGTTTGGTTGGGTGAAATGACAGTGGACCCTGTCAGTTGCTACAAAGATCTGCTTTTTGACTCTTTAGACTTTTCCCCTTCTATGCTTAAAGTTCAGAAGCGTCGGAAGAACTTGCTGACTGTTTTGTTCAAGAGATTCTTAGGGGAGTGTAGAGTGAGCCTGATGTTAGCAGCTGTGCAGCAGGACCTGGTTCTCCCTGTCCCTGGGCAGGGGAGCAGAACAGCCAACTGTTCTTGTCTGTGCCCTGTACCTCTGCCTGCTCCTGCTGTGCTTCTGTCTGTAACCACTCAGGCACTCAAGATGATACACACCTGTCTCTTCTGTATGTAGAACTGTTTTTTTGTTTCAGATCTCTTAAATCGGACCCATAACAGAGCAGGTTCAATACCAATATATGCCCAACTCTAGAACAATTTTGGAGGGCCTGGTGCATCTAGTAAAGCATCAGATCTGTGCTCAGGCTGGTACCCGTGATGGGCAAACTCTGCAGGCGCCGTCAAGTGATTCCCCTGGAAGCAGCCCCAGGTACCACAGATAATCCCCCCTCCCTCCTGTCATGTCTGGGCCATTTCTCATGCCTAAAGCCTCTGTGAGGGGCTGTGAGTTTGGTCATTCCTTGTGGGTTTGTCTGTCCTGATGGACGCAGGTGAAAGCCTGATGTGATGCTCAGCTCCAGCTCCCTTGGTACAGTCAGTGGCCAAGGGGCATTTTTTTTGCACTTAATGGGGAGAGTACCCCCACTCATTTTGTGCCATAGTAGGATGGTTGTGGCAGCATTTCCTGCCTTCCAGGCTGTGAAGATAACCAAGCAATGCACAGAGGTGATTGCACACGAAGTTAGGAGAAGCTTATAAATTGCTTGGTGTGGTGGGTTGACCCTGGCTTTACACTAGATGCCCACTAACTCCACTCTATTAGTCCTCTCCTCAGCTGGACAGAGGAGAGAAAATATAACGAAAGGCTCATGGGTTGAGATAGGGACAGGGAGATCAGTCAGCAATTACCATTATGGGCAAAACAGACTCAACTGGGCTAAATTAGTTTAATTTATTACCAATCAAATCAGAGTAGGGTAATAAGAAATAAAACCAAACCTTAAAACACTTTACCTCCACCCCTTCCTTCTTCGTTGTCTCAACTTCACTCCTGATTTCTCTACCTTCTTCCCTCCAGTGGTGGCAGGAGATGAAGAATGGGGGATTGTGGTCAGTTCATCACACTTTGCCTCTCCTTCCACCCCAGGGGGAGGACTCCTCACACTCTTCCCCTGTGCCCTACCACAGGAGACAGTCCTCCATTAATTTCTCCAGTATGAGTCTTTCCCACAGGCTGCAGTTCTTCATGAACTGCTTCAGTGTGGGTCGCTCTCACAGCAGACAGTCCTTCAGGAGCAGACTGCTCCACTGTTGGCTTCCCATGGGATCACAAGACCTGCCAGCAAAGCTGCTCAGGCGTGGGTTCCTCTCACCATAGGTCCACAGGTCCTGCCAGAAGCCCACTCCAGTACAGGCTTCCCACAGGGTCACAGCCTTCTTTGGGCATCTAACTGCTCCTGCATGGGATACTCAGTAGGCTGCAAGTGGTTATCTGCTTCACCATGGACCTCCACTGTTAACCTCCTTAAGGCTCCTGCAGGGCACAGCCTGTATCATCATGGTCTTCAGCATGGGCTGCAGGGGAATGTCTGATCTGGTGCCTGTAGCATCTACTCCCACTCCTTCTTCTCTGACCTTGGTGTCTGCAGAGGTGGTCCTCTCACATACTCTCATTTCTCTTTTCAGCTGCTATGTTGCAGCATTTTATCCCCTTCTTAAAGACATCATCCCAATCATCCCAGAGGTACTGCCACTGTCACTGATGGGTTTGGCCTTGGCCAGCAATGTGTATATCTTGGAGCCAGCTGGCATTGGCTCTGTCAGACATGGAGGAAGCTTCCAGCAGTTTCCCACAAAAGCCACCCCTGTAGCCTCCCCACTACCAAAACCTTGCCACACAAACCCAATAGCCTTGGACATCAGGGATTGGAAATTGTTTGCTTTAGTGGTGCATTATGCTTCTGCAATTATACTTATCTAGAGTGTCTTTTCACATTTTCATTTCATCATGAGCTTCCCAATCTGTGTGGCACACGATGTGAGCCCCTCTGCCATGCCAAGCAAATGGCACATGCTGTGTCCCATAGTTCACCAGCAGCCAGGAGGATGGTCCTCGATGAGTCACTTGGAGACTGAGGCTGCAGATTTGCTTCTTAAAGCAATCAGTTTGTCTTCTGATGGGCTGGCTTGCTTCTACTTTGTGCCCTTATGTCCGTTTGCATTTGAGACTTTCTTGCTGTCATCTTGTAGACAATGTCTTCCAGGCTTGAGACAGCTTTCCTCAGAATTTACCAAGTTCTTTTTCATAAAAATGTGAATGAATTAGGCAAGAATTAGGCTTTAAAAAGCACGAAATACAACCTGGAAACTAAGACATGCTCAAGAGTTCCTGCCTCTGCCCCTCCTCTGTGATATGGAAGAATATTTGCTCCACTGAAGACTTCAGAAGGATCAAGAATCATCCAGAGCATCTGCAGAGGCACCAGAGTGAGAACATCCAGCAGCAAACACAGGTATAAATCTTACAAAACCTTGATGTAAAGGTGTATTAGCTGCTGGCTGACAATTTTACTGAATTGAATCCTGAGCCATCTACCCTAACCCTGGCTTTGATTGAAGGGCGAATATTATTAGCCTGCTACTGATTTTGTGCTGTGTGATTGAGGCTGGATTTGAATTGCATAATAATCTTATCGTTGCTATGACATAGTGTAGGAGGTGCAATTACAGCCCCATGTACCAAAAGATCTGCTGAAAAGGCCTCCACTTCATTAGCATTATTCTGAATGTCTAAGCTTAAGTGCTATTCTCCAACTTCACTGTGACTTGTTTAAGAAAAAAACATCAAAGAAATACAGAGTGGGGCACTTCCTCTGGAAATGGATGTTGCTGCACCAGCTGAAGTTGAACACAAGTTGAGCTTCCTTTCAAACACTTGGCATTTGTTTGTGTTTTGATGGTGGCATTTCATGCCCTGTCTTGTGGGGGAGGACTGCAGAATGAACCTTTCAGAAACTGCCTGTTGCCAAAGTGGGAGGTCATTTCAGGTTCCTCTACCAACTCACAGCAACGAAAGTTGCCAGGTTATGATAAGCCTTTTATCTGCTTGCTGACTGTGCTTTGGAGGGAGATACAGCTGATCAAGCAAAGTCTCCAGGAAGTGTGCTTAGGAGGCTGGTGAAAGAGAGATCGACCACCCGTGTGAATCAGAAGGGGACAAAATGAACACCTGGGAAGGCAAACAAGCTGTGGTGTTTGTGCAGCAAGCGGTAAGTCCACCTTGGAATTGGACCTTGGGTGTTCACTGTGGGCCAAGGCCTTCATCAGTTTGAGGAGATGGTTCAGGGTGGCCCTTGGGATTCATACAATGAGGTTTTTGCCTTGGGCAGGTACCACTCGTGTCTTCAGGACTATTAAACCTTGACAGGTTGAAGCAATGAGGTCCCACCAATTTGTGGCAAGCCCCTGGGTGTCTCCTTTGTGTTTTACACATGAAGTTAAAGAGGAAGAGATGGGAATGAATCTAGTGTGTTTTCTGTCAGCTGTCATTTGTATTACTTGTGCAAAGAGTGGTGTGAAGTTTGAGTTAGAACACCTTCACTGTTGTCCCCAACCAGGTTGTGAACTTTGTGAACTATTCATGTGGTATCTGAGGGAGTTTTGAGGTCTCTGCAGGATCCAGAGGAAGTTTGGTCAGCTGAGAACTGATGCAATGGTCACACTTCCATAGCAGAGGACAGGAATAGGTTCAGCCATGAGGAAGAAACATTTCAGAGGAGAGAGAATCTGCATTCTGGAGCTGGTAGCACAGGAAAAGGAGCTTTGGAGATCTCAGAGGAAATGTAGGCAGAAGGACATGTATTAGTAGTTAGTTCTGTTTACTTCTGAATTTTGTGTGCTGGCTAAATAGCTGTTGGCTGGGTGGACTCAGTAGAGCCTGTTTACTTCTGCTGTCTTGTATCCCTAGAAGCTGGGGGCCCAGGGAAGGGCAGGGAGTAGATTACAGTCAGACACAGGCAGTGAGAATACAGCTGGTGGGATATGGTACCATTTCCACAGCTGTATATGAAAAGCATCACAAAGAAAAACATCAGACTGGAGAAAGCTGGGAGTGCTGGATGCTGGGCTGAGCAGGGAGGACCAGCAAGGGACCAGGTGGGGTGGTGCAGCACAGCAGTGGTTGTCACATGGACAGAACAGAGTCAGCATTGCCCTCAGGTGTCTTCATGTCAACTTTGCTGACTGTCCAGTTGCTGCACAGGTGTGTTTGTGCACAGGGAGAGTGGAGTAAAGAGAAGTGTGGTTGATGCTTCCAAAGTATGTAATCAAACCAAAAACGTTGATAGCCAAGGAATATTAGCTGAGGTGGAGACAACTGAGCATGATAAATACTACGTTCTTGCTTCTGAAGCAGTGGTATTGCTACTCGTTTTCTCTCCTTTGTCATCAGCAGTGGGATAATCCTTGTTTAGGGTCATCTGAACAGGGATCTAAATGGACTTCTGTGACATGGCAAAACCAGATGTGGGCCCATGTAGAGACAGGGACCCTTGCATGTGAAAAAGGCAAATTCTAGAATCACCAAGCAAGACCTTGCAGATTCTTCCAGTCTGAAGTGTGGAGTCTAGCAGCAGCAATTTTAAGTGATGACAGTAGTGGACAGGTTTCACATGATCAAGCCAATAAAATCCTCAGTTTTCTCCCATCCCCCTAGAATGATAAATATTCAAAGCTGTTGCACACTGGAGATAGACTTCTTGGCTTGTAAAGCTTGGGTACAGTATGCAGCTGGGGGCATAGGAGGCCCCTGTGAAACCTCACCAGGTGGAGAGGGAGAGGAAAGCACTCACTTGGCACTGTGAGTCACACAATCTTTATTTTCATGTTAGACAAGATAACTATCTCCTTCTTGTTACTGCTTTCAGGATACTGTGAAGAAACTCATGTTGCGATCATATGTGGGGGTCTCTTTAGGGGCTTCCCACATGCTGCATCTCCTGCTTCCTCAGCCTTTTAGCTACCTTCCCAGTCACTTTTTTCTGCCTGCAGCTCCCAGCTTTAAAGGAATTAAAAATCTCTGTGTGCACCTGAAGCCTTGATGTCTGTGTGTCCTCCAGGGTGAAAAGCCTTTGTTATCCAAGGATCAGTTAAGCACTGTTACTCCATTTGGTTCAACATCTCCTGTAATGATCTCCTATAATGATGCCTGGTAACAGTAGGGGGGATTTTGCTCAGACACTGAGATCCTGATACTGCAAGTATTCGATTCAGTGGACTGTTTGGTTTCTGTCTTGCTTGACTCCCTGTGGCTAGGAGGGAAAGGTGTTGTGTGAAAGACTTGCAAACAAGATATGTGTGCTGTGTGTGACCCAGAGCTGAGCCTCTGAAAGCCCAGACCCAAGTGCAATGAGCTGGGGGAGAAACTTCCCTCCATCTCTTTGGGCTTTGAAGCAGATGTCTGAGGGTGAGATCTGCTGATAGCTCAGCTGCATGTTCAACTTTAGTTGACTTCTGTGCAGATGCTGAAACTTTCTGCTGAAGTGGAGCTTTGAACTTTCTGTGCTTGTTTCCCCATGTTGTAACAGTAGAAGAAGACTTGTCTTTTGCCAGTGGGTATCAGCCAGGTTATCAGACATCCCATCATCTGGGAAAGCTTGCTGGAATATTTTGGTTATTTATTTGCATGGTGCTAAACAAATATGAATGCAAATAAGCAATAATTCCAATCCAATCCATGCAGCTGGCTAGGAATATGTAAAAATAAAATGATCATTTATACACTCATCATGCAAAACCCAAGGTGTTATGTGGCAGGTTTGTTTGATTACAGAACAAAACATGATAAAGCCTTTATTTGGTTTCTGAATGCTGGCATCTTCTTTTCCAGTACCTGCAGCGATAACTAGCAATTGAAGTAAAGCTCAGCTAACTTTTAATTTTTGTTCCTTTGAAGCCTGTACTTTTTTTTTCCCCTGCCTGTTTCAGTCTCACTGCTATGGGGACAATGCAGAGAAAGTGATGCCCTGCATTCCTGAGCACAGAAGTAATTCTCTTGTGCACCTTGTGTTGGCAGTGCTCGTACATCCCACCCTGCGCAAGAGATGATCAGGAGAACTCTGAGAACGTCACATACAAGCAGAAATACTGGAAAGAGAAAGTGGGTTCACAACCATTTACATGCTATTTTAACCAGCACCTAAGGTGAGTCATCTACATTTGCACAGGCAAAAGTGCTTGTGCATCTGTTTAACAGCTGTCCATGGGTTCTGTTTGAAAATAAATATAAATGCATGCATATGTCTATACAGACCCACCCACAGTGATGTGGTTTAGCACCCAGGGTTTAATGCAGAGCTTTGCAAGACAGCTCTGCTGATGAAAAGCTACAAAGAAAGTGGAAAAACATTGTTGCCACTTGGAGGAAAAATATTAAACTCTGAGGAAGGTTTCCTTAAAGCACGTCATCTTATGCCAAAACACATCTTGGCTTTTAAAACTCAGATGACAAATTTCCTGTTTGCATATTAATGTTCCGTGGAAGAGAAATACTGCTGTGTTCATGAGGGGCTGGAAGCAAAGGGGAGATAAATAAATAGAGCAGACAAGCTCAGGAATTGTGTTCATAGAGGATTAATGAATCAGATGTGTAACAAACAGATGCTCACAGAACTGCCAGCTCTACTTGCTTGCAGAGTGGAAATCTGTAACTTAAAGTGTCTCCTCTTCTGTTTCAGTTCTTACTTTTACTGCTGTTGTTGGTGTGACTTACATGTGTATGAGGGTGACGTGTGGTTTCCTTCCTTCAGTAAACAGGAAGACAAGAGAGTCCCTCTGCCTGTCTCTTTTCTGGTCATGATGTGCCAGGAAATAAAAGGTGATGTGGTGGCAGCAGCTGATTGGTACTGCAGTGTGCAGGCACCCTAGGGAGGACTTCGGGGAAACAGCAGTAATTAGGATGATAGGTCCATGTAGACAGGGAGATGGAGAGAGAATATTCAAGATCTACAGATCCACCAAGGTTTTGTGGTGTTTAGACTCCAATTCTGGAAGCATATAACACTTTTTAATTTGACCAGGATAAGTAATTTTGTTAGAGCTCAGACTTTTCTTGGTGGTTAAGGTAAGCACTTGAATAAATATCTGCCACAGGAAGAGACTGGTCCCACCCCACCAGAACTTGGAAGTTAAACAGATGAGGGAGACCTAGGTGGGAATAGCTCAGTGCTTGCTGATGCAATTCAGGACTTAGTGTGGGAATGTTGGCATCAAATACTTAAGTTTATTAAAACAGACAGGAGGAAAATGGATGCCAGTTTGTGCTAGGACTTTGGAGGACCTAGGGAGCTGGAGCAGGGTGGCAGGCACAGAGATGCCCAACTCTTTTGTGGGTGGCCCTCTGGGTGCCTTGGGGGCTTCAGGTTTGTTCTAGGCTGACAATGATTGTCACCCCCTCCGTGGAGAGACCATAGACCTCGTTGATGTGCCCAGGATGACAATCTATTGTTCCTGAATAACTATTTGCAGAGGGAAAACAGCAAAGCTTTATAGCAAAAACTACTTGTTTCTTATAGTGGGTAAAAAAGCACTGTCTACAGCAAGCAGAGGTTAAAACTTAAAACTTAGGGCAGCCTGTGTGGTGACATCAGACCTGGCTGGGACCTTCTTGGGAGCTGTTTTGGTCGACAAGGTGCCAGCACTTCTGTCTACTAACCCAAGAGTCAAGTCATGATTTTGGCTTCTCTGGGCAGGCAGGTGCTGCCAGTTCCCCACACTTCTGACACCTGGGAACTGCAGCAGCCACTGCCTGAGCAAGAAGAAGAGTCAGAAACACAGGATCTTGTACAAAAGAAGTCATGGATAGGATTCAGCTTGGATAGTTTGGTTAAGATACTGTGAAAGGTTGGTTTTCTAGTCAGTGGAGAGAAATAGGAGCTTTTAATCTTACCTCCAAATAAATGCCTACTATAGGTTGGGTGCCCAGAGGTGTTTGTTTGGTAAAGGGGTTTAGGGTGATCTGCTCAGGTGCAGGCACATAGGTGGTAGGTGTCCAGAGTTAGGGGAGCTGGTTCTCACATCACAACTGTAGGTGAAGCCTTGGCAAAATTTTCTGAGAGACTGCAGGCTGCCTGGGGTCTGCCATTTCTGTAGGCTGACACTGAGGAATTGAGCAGCTCTGGAGCAACAATTTTTCCTTAAAGCTTCTGCATCCTGTACTGTCAAAGCTTCTTGCCAAATGAAATGGCTGCCTTGAAGCACTGTCTTTTGCTGATCATACAACAATTTATATACAGCAGAAGAGGGGCTTTCTGCCAGAGATACTTGAAGATAGTCTAAGCTGAAATGTGTACGCCATCTATTTTCTTCTGGAGATGTGAATGAGCTTGGAGAGATAAGGCTTGCTGACTCAGACTAGGCTTACTTAGGCATGCTTTTAGAGCTACGATGACTAAACAGCTTCTGAAGCAGTAAAAAAGCAAACAAACTGAGGGAAAAATCTTTTCACTTCAAAATAGAAGCGTGTTTATTTTCCAGCAGTATTATTTTTAGCTGTCTGGATGAGCTAACTTTGTGTCGGTAGTATATGGTGGTAAGTTCCTTGGTGAGAGTAATAGTTGCAATATTAATACTGTCTCTTTTCAAATGGCAGAATGAAATTCTAGCTAAATATTTAGGCAATGAATGAACATCATCTCCTCTTAATCAAACTTAAGTTAGGGTAATTCTCAGAATTGTTGCTGCGTGCAGAGCACACTCTTAGAGAACATCTCCCTTCAGTTTGGCGGGTCGCATTTCCACAGACTGCTTTGAAAAGAAGAAAAAAGTGATGACATTTGTACAGTTCACAGTTATACAAAAGGGGTGAGAATCAGACTCGGCAATTTTAATCATTCTCTGTTAATGTAAATAGGAAGACCCAGCACTAGTGTCTGACAGTAATCTCAGAGAGCCAAAGTTAGTTCAGCTTGGAGCTCACAGCTTGTCTGAAATCAGGGTTTTGCTTTGCTGCTGTAGGAAATCACCTTCAATTTCCCATTTTCTCTGGCTAGCTTTGGGTCAAGTGGTGAAAGTTGCATGGGAAAGCTGCTTTTCCAAACCTCTGGTGAAGGTGCCTGTCACTGGACATGATAATACTCTGGTCGTTAGGGAGCACCTCCTGGTGTTTCAGAGCACAAAATAAACAACAAATTCAGATGAAGTTCTCAGGCTGCTGCCAAAGGTTTGAGAAGGCACTGAGCTCAAATGCTTCAGCATTGCTGGATCTCACACCAAGTGCTCCAAGGGGTCTGTAGTCATGACCACATGCAAACAAGGGTCACATCTGCATGTCCTAAAGTGGGAGGTCTGTGGAAAGGGGCAGGATGGGGCAGAGGATGTCACTTTCTTCAGATTACAGGTCTCACTGACGTCAACAACAAGAACAATAAGAGATAAACCAAGTTCTCCAGCAGTTCAGACTGCCTGGTCTCATGTCATGCAGAGACAGGCAGAGTAATATATGTAAAGTCATATCTTATTAGGGGCTCATTTATGTGGCATTATTGCTTTTTAGCTCTGGTTTCACCCATTATTACAGCAAGAACACTCTGGTTTCATTGCCACAGGGCAGCAAAAGAACCAGCCAGGCTTTATACTTCTATGTGTTTGCTGAAGGAAGCTATACACAAATTCTCTTGAGATTTGAGGAGCAAACACTATCTCGTGATTAATCACCTCCTGTATGGTGTTGGGGTATCTTGCAGGCCACTTATCTGGAAGTAATTACCTGCAGAAGCCAAGGTTGCTCAAGTAGTAGGGCTGCTTATTCCCAAAGGGTGAAACATAAATCTTGGTTCACTTTGGCACTTCATAAATTTTTCTAAATTAATTCCCTCCAGTCAGAAGACCAGGTTGCTGTTCCCATTCCCCCTTTTTTTTTTTTTAATTATTTTTTTTCTTTTTTTACTGTACCACCTGTGGAGGAGCAGTGCTTGGCCTGAGAGGGAAAGAACATTACTGTTAGTAGGACATGACACTGCCCCTGCCTGCAGCTCTTCAGCTGAGGATCTCTGTCTTGGAACAACAGGTGGGGAAATTACGACAAATGCTTGTCATAGTGAAGGGAGGTGCAAAATAGATGCAAAATAGATGTGTGCAGATTGCACACTCTGCAGATTCTTTAAAGCCAGATTGTCTGAATACAAAAAATATTGGTAAGGCTTCCATACCCCCACCTCTGTCAGATTTTGCCATGTCACATAAATAGCAGGATGTGTGGAGTGATGACCAAAATGTTTACATAACTAACTGTAACTTTTGGATCCTACATGCCTTTTTGGTGACCCCTGTGATACAGTTCTTCCGTGATGTTCAGTAATTGCTCTGAAGGATTTGATGGAGGCCTGCTTTATCCACTGTCTGTTATGGAAGGCTTGGCAGCACCTAACAGGGATGTGTAGCATAAAACAACAAGTGATCCAGTTACCCCCCTGGGC